TATATTTAATATTTAATATTTAATTTATATATATAAATTAAATATTAATATTTTTATTTTTTCACTTTTATATATATTAAAGTTTGTTTATTTATATTATACAATTTTTTTTATATTAAGAAAATCCTATTATTTAAATATTAATATCAAAAAGTGAAAATATAAAAAAAATAATACCTGTTTATAAAATTAAAATAATAATATTTTTTATTTTTATTAATATTAATATTATTTATTATAATTAGCATCATTATTATTTATTATGATTCTTATTATTTTTTTAATATTTATTTTTATTCTTATCATTATTTATTATTTTTTTAAAAATTATACTTATTAATATAATTTTATTGTAATTATTATTATTTATAATAAATAATATTATACTCATTTTAATCTAAGGGTAAAAGTATAAATCATATTTATTTATTAAATTTTTAATTTTTATCTATCATTAAATTTAAAGTAAATATTTAAATTAAATTATTTTTAATATTTTATAATTTTTTAAATTAAAATTTATATATTTATTTTTTAATTATAATAATTATAAACTTTTTTAACTTAAGGGTAAAATAGTAATCTTACACAATTATCAATTAAAAAATTTATTTTTATCTATCACATCAATCAATTCACTCACAAACTTTCACAAACTTTCTCTACACTTTCCACTCACTTTTCCTTAATCCAAACAACCTCACTTTCCACTCACTTTCCCTTCAAATCTTTCCTTTTCCACTCCCCCTTTTCCATCTTCAAATCCAAACAAAGCCTTAAAGATAAGTTAACTAAATCATTTAAATCTCGAATTGATAAACTTTACTGTAATACTCATAGGAGGAAAAATAAAAGGTTAAAATTTCAAATTTCTATTATAATTTTTTTATTCACTTCAATTTTTTTGAAATCTTCCCATCTAATTTCTCCAAAAAAAAATTATAATACATAATTAATTTTAACTTATAGTCTTTACTCTTGTTCAATAAATTAATACACATGCAAAAATTTATCTAAACATCATTTTTTTATTATCTTTACCTTGACCTCATCAATTAGAATTAATTTTATAATTATTATTAATATTAAAATTGAAAAACAAAATCATAATTTAGAGTAGCTAGAATTGAATGTTGAAAGAAAAAGAGAAGGAATATTATATAAGGCGGTGGGTGAAGTGAAATCACGTGCAACCATACTACAAAAAATAATTTTTGATTCACATAGTTGCAAAATTTAGAATCTGGGTGTGTGTGTTAATTCAGATTATTTTTTACTTTTGGTGAGAAGTTGAAAGAAAAACATTGGTCAAAAATAACTCATTACCAAATATAGTTTTTATTTTCTTTGTGTATTGGTAAGAAATTCTTGCATTGGTGGGGTGCATTGTCCCAAAACTTTGCTGACTCTGTTGTGTTTGGATATGAGAAAAGGTCCCATAAATTACGGTTTGGTTCAGAAGGTAGTATTCCAAAGGTATACATAGCTACCGACTACCAGAACCTTCAAAGCATCATTTGGAATCTTTATATGCTTTTTTTAAATCCAACGACCCATCATGAGAGGGTAAAAAGTAACGTTTAAGTAAATCAATCATATAACATTTATTTAATTTGGTTTTGTTTTAAGTTTAGTCTTCAATTTCGTAGTTCAGTGGAGGTTTTCTTATTTCTTATTTTTTATTTAATGATTCTACATTCTCATATGACATCTTTTAGATAATCTTTCTATTCATTAGATAAAAAATTTTAAAAAAATTTAAAAAAGGTTGAATGCTCTTTATGTTTGTTTTTTGAGATATGACTTTTATTGATGGTTATTTTTTAAATGATTTATTGTTATTTTATTATTTGTATACAAGTACAAATTATTAAAATAACTAAAAGAATTAGGTGATGTTTCTTATAATCACTAATAATGACAGAAAAAACTTTTCAAACTATCATTAAATTTTCATTAATACTCGTGATTTATAATTTTCTATCCTTCTAAGTTTTAATACATAATTTTGAGTTAAATATTTATATTAAAGGTAATTATATATCATGTACTGTTTTTAAATCTTAAAATATAATTATAATATTGACCATGTATGATCTACGTGCTTTAAGATTTTTTTTTATTTTACAATTTACACTATTTTTTAAACATAAAAATAGGACATAGAATGAAAGAATATATGTTTATATAAAATAAAAATAATAAAATAATAATAATAAAATCCCTTGTTTGGCAGACAAAAAAAAAGAGAAAAATAAATTTAAATGATGCAACCCACTTAAATATTATATCTTCTCGTTTTGAAGAGAAAGATGCTAAGATAAAGCTTAAGTGATTAAATTAAACTAATAAAAAAAACGTAAGAAAAATTTATAACCAAAAATACCCTTTTTCATTATATACCTTCTTTTTTATTTGGGATATTTATTTCATTCCACATATGCATCTTCTTTTTCTTTTCTTCTTCCTTTTACACAACTAAATAAAATTAAAAATCATTTCACTTTTTATTATTTTTCTTATCTTTTACTTTCCTTTTTTTTTCTGTTTAACCAAACAAATAATTAAATTTAGATTAGTCACTATTATTAACGGTGAATATTTTAGGATCGGTAGTGGATATTTTAAGAACGAATAAAAAAATTAATTATTAAATTGTTTTTATGTTTCCTTTTATTTCGGGAGCGCGTTTTAGAAAAAGAAATTTTGGATAATCTTGTCTCCTTTCGCTTATCAATGTAAACTTTAGAAAAAAATTATACCAAGATTTGTAAAATTTTAATAATTTATCATCAATCACAAAAAGTTCATGACTGTTAACAAGTATCGTAAATAATTGAAGGTTTAATTGAATAATTTTCTTCATAAATTTTTACAGAAGAAAAAATGAAATTAATCTCTGTATAAAATTTTACACTTATTAACTTGCGAAAAAGTTAATTTTATTTTTTTTCTTATTTGTTCTCCTACAAATTATTAACAAACCCTTATAACAAAATATTCTTCGGTGACAATTCATGATACATCTATCCATCTTCAACTATAATGTCATTCTTAATCATTGGAGTAACCGTGAGCATAAGATTTGCCTCTTGTCCATGATAACCCAAACATATATCCATCGAAGTACACATTAAAAATTAGTACAAAATTACCAACTTATGATACCTTACATATTTATTTATTAATTTTTAAGGAGAGCCAAATTAATTTTATAAATTATCTCCATTTGGTCAAAGTTGCGCATTTCTTTTGTAATCTAACTCTATTTATTTAACATCAACGTATTTTTATGATTTGTTGGACTAAAAAAAGTCGAAATATGAAAGGAAGAAAAAAAAAAGGCTTTCAACAACATTAGTGAAATTAAATAGCATATGAAGAATATATAGTCAACATCCCAAGTCAAGAATATTATTTTCATTCTCTTTCGTTATGCTTTTATATAGTCCATTCATTTCCAACCAAACCTTCCATATTTGCTAATAATTAAGTGATATCCCACCTTTGAAATGTTTTGCTACTTTCTAATATCCAACTCGTCTAGTACATGTAAAACAAGACAATGCATTTTGTAATCATCATATGAGCTGACCCATTAAGACACTATGATCACGATTCCTTGTAAACTTTTTTAGGAGGATAAAAGTAAACTTAAAAAAGATGAAAATGTGTAGACCCCAAAGAATTATAATGATCAAAATTTCCAGCTTGTATTCATACCCTTTTCCATATGCCACATATTATATATTCTTCTCTATTATACTACAAGTTATTTTCATCCTACCTTTAAGCTTTCTATGGCCATTTTGAAAAAGTCTACCACTTGCCCACCATTATAGGACCTTAAAAGTGCAATAATTCGATAAAGTCGATTTTGTGTCAATCAATACCTTTACGGCTTTGCTTTGTTTCTCCCAATCTTTAATTGCATTTATCTTTGGAATTCATGTTAATACTGAAATATGAGAGAAATATAAATTTAAGTGATACTGAATTCAACATTATCAAATAAGGTCTCAAATTTGTATCATATAGATGATAAAAAAAATGTAATTAAAAAGAAAATTCATACTAAAAATAATTTGTCAAATTCTTTATAAAAATTAGTTATCAATAAAATTAATAAATATTTTATACCAATAATATTATTATAAAAAAAGTATAATTTACATCATATGAATTTGATCTATATATCGATGAATGATTGTAACAAAGTTATGGAAAAGAATCGTCTCCCATTCTATTGATCAATAGGTAATTATATACAAGTATACAGGCTAAATTATCTCCCTCATATCTTTGATATGATTTGGCAATATTCTGCAATAAAGGATAATTAAAACCAACAAAATATACGTCAAATTAAATATTCTAATTGAGGAAATAATCTCAAGAATTATGCATGAGAGCATAACCCGTATATCATATCCCATATTACCCTCCCTCAAGGTGGAGCATGAGGATTACGAATGCCCAGCTTGTTAAGCAGAGTCTGAAATTGATGTCGTCCCAAGGCTTTTGTAAGGATGTCGGCAAGTTGCTCTTGTGACGGAACATATGATGGTTGAATGGTGCCTTGGAGTATCTCATTACGAATGAAATGACAATCCACTTCAATATGCTTTGTCCGTTCATGGAAAACTGGATTTTTCGCTATATGCAAAGCAGCCTGACTATCACAGTGGAGGTG